ATAAACATTAGTCCACAATAAGTTTCACAACTCTATCATTGATAAACAAATAAAATTATTCTCGCAAAAATACACGACACCAGTAATAAAAAATACAGTACAACAAAACAGCAACATATTTTATATACAATAATTATAAAAAGGATGAATTCGCTATACGAAGAAATATTAAAAAAAATATTTCTGTCGTAATTCTTGAAAAACAGAAAATTGATAATATATTACTGGAAATGGAAGATCGCAAAACTTGTGGTCACTAATAAAAATTAAACTAGGGATTCCCAGTACAAGACTCTGTTTCTTTTCACAAATCATTTACCTATATCGGACACACTACAACCTCCTTGAGTAGGTACCTCACGTGTCACTTATCAGATCAAAGTCCTATAAATAACATTAAACGCTAACATTTACATATGAATTCATGGTTAATAACCAAACCCCATGTTGATATAGAACTAAAATCCGAAATATTTACCACTTACCCGTATAAAAATAAAACTATGAAAGCCAATGCCTGGAAATATATAAAATAACAAGCTTCATAAATAGAGCCCACCAAAATTCTTCTTCTCAAAGAATATTTCCGTGTGCACTAAAACACATAAAACAAACTACATCATTGATAAACAAATAAAATTATTCTTACAAAAAATACATAACACCAGTAAAAAAAATTCCAGACAACAAAACATCAAGATATTTTACAGCAACCAGATGCACAATAATTATAAGCAGGAAGAATTCGGTATACGAAGAATCATTAAACGCCGTATTTCTGTCGTAAATGCCGAAAAATATATATAAAATTGATAATATATCACAGAAAATGGAAGACCGCAAAACTTGTGGTCACTAATCAAAATAACCCCATTAAATCTAAACTACCGATGACCAATATAGTGTATCAATTTCACTGACCAGTACAAGATCAAATACCTATATCAGACACACTACAACTACCTTACGTGACACTTATCTGACCACAGTGACATAAAAAAAAACATTTATTAATACATGATCCACAAGAACAGTTAAGGAAAATTCTGGTCGAAAACACAAGAATTCTATATAAATCATATTAGCAGAAATATCTTGCAATACGAGTGTCACTATATATCAAATAATTCACTCCTAGCATCAATCTTACATTATTTAATAGTGAAAATGGAGTGTTGAAAGTTTTGTTTTTCTTTAAATAAAAAAATAAAAAAAAGATTCTCACCTGAATTCCAGTCGCGCGCGGCATGTGAGGGCAGTGCTACGAACGCCTCCTTTTTAAAAAAAAAAAAAAAAAAAAACAACACAAACATAATTTACGACGCAACAATCACAGCATGAGGCAAAAATAACAATACCGAAGACAAAATACCCTTGAAAATGGCTACAGATAATGCCAAAAGCGGTTGGAACAATAAAGATTATGGACAATTTTATATTCCTTAACATAGCGGGAAAATGGTTGAAGACTTAAAAAATTAATTCAATCTTCCTTGTCACTCGTATTCAATGAAAGATGTTTGAAAGAAAGGTTGCCACCAAAATACGCATTAATATATATATATATATATATATATATATATATATATATATATATATATATCACCTGAGTATAATTATTTCTATATATATACATATATATTATTTGACAAGATGAAACATTGACACATACTCATACATAGACACACAAACACACACACATACCCCCCCCTATATATATATATATATATATATATATATATATATATATATATATATATATATAATCAGTACACAATAAAATCCCAAATTATCTGATATAGGTAATAGGCTTATTTCAATCGACGAAAACTATGTCAGTCTTATTCAACCTCGGGATAAAATGAGTTCGTGTTGCAATTAGAATTTTAACTACCAACTTAAGTAAGAATTAGTAATTTAACTACTAAGAATTTATTTAACTAATAATTAGAAATTTAAGTATTAACTTAACTAAGTTAATTCCGACAAGAACTCAGTCTATACCGGGGTTGAATAAGACTGACGAAAAATTCGCCAGTTGAAATAATCCTATTTCCCATATGAGGTGATTTTGGATGTTATTGTGTATAAATTATTTGCTCTGTAATAATAAATGCATTGAGCTCTTTTTACGGATCAATTTTAATAGTTTATATTACTGGGATTCACTTGGATTATATACCAACGAATTTATTAATATATATATATATATATATATATATATATATATATATATATATATATATATATATTAAATAATTCATCGAGTCTGATAGAAATCTCAACAGAATGCAGAAAGCACTGGACGGCCGTTTCGTCCTATATTTGGGACTCATCAGCAGTGCGCATCCACTACCGAGAATTGAAACCCTGACAGTTAGGTTACCAAGCCACCATCATACCACGGTGACGAAGAGACTGCAAATCAGACTCAACAAAGCGCCGCTCGCTCACATATTCCGTGGTGGAACTCTACTGAGGTCTCTGTAACCATAGGACTGTGCCTCCTGGAGCCACGACTACTCTCACGAAGCCGCTCACTCTAGAGCATTATAAGCTGGTTCAAGCAATGATGTACATGATAGAAATCAAATCCCCCTAATAATTTCTATCATATATATATATATATATATATATATATATATACGACAAGATGATACACATGAGATAGAGTTGAGATTGCCTGGTTCTAGTCGTACCTTGGGAACGAAATTTATATTCTAGTTTCAGCCTGATAAACGCCGAACTGTAGAGAATTATTCCCAATATGAGTAGCAATTGCTCGAAGAGAAAAGGAATACAATATAAAGCTTTGCAAGTATTTCTCTAAAATATTCTATTCACCTATCTTTATAAATAAGGGAAAAAAAATCAATATTATTTTGTGAAAAGTAGAATTTGAAATTTATGATGTATACATTTCTTAAGCAATAATTCAAGAAAAAATTGTGTTTTTGAATGTCGACATTTTCTTTCGCCATCTTTTATTTGTAATTCTGAAATGGCGTAATAGAAAGTTGCTGAACGGGCAGTAAAATTAAGAAGTAAGAAGTGCAGTTTATGAGGATATGTAAGAAAGATAATGGTTAATCCATGACTTGAATAGGTCAAGAGCCACCCAAAGTAGAGGGTTACTGAATGAGGTTGTTGTATGAACGTAAGAGGAGGAGGTAAGAAGTGCAGTTTATGAGGATATGTAAGAAAGATAACTGTTAATCCATAATTTGGAGAGGTCAAGAGCCACTCAAGGTAGAGGGATACTGATTGAGGTTTTTGTATGAATGTAAGCGGAGGAGGAGGTAAGATATGGAGTTTATGAGGATATATAAGGAAGATAACGGTTAATCCATGATTTGAAGAGGTCAGGAGCCACTCAAGGCAGAGGATTACTGAATGTTGTTGTATGAATATAAAAGGAGGAGGAGGAGTTTATGGGAAGATAATGGTTAACCCATAATTTGAAAAGGTCAAGAGCCACTCAAGGTAGAGGTTTACTGAAAGAAGTTGTTGTATGAATGTAAAAGGAGGAGGTAATAAGTCCAGTTTATGAGGATATGTTGGAAAAATAACGGTTAAATAATGACATAAAGTGGTCAAGTGCCACTCAAGGTAGAGGGATAATGAATGAGGTTGTTGTATGAACGTAAGAGGAGGAGGTAAGTTGCCCAGTTTATGAGGAGATGCAAGAAAGATAAAGTTTAGCCCATGGGTTTAAGAGGTCAAGAGCCACTCAAGGTAGAGGTACACTGAATGAGATTGTTGTATGAGCGTAAGAGGAGGAGGCAAGAAGTGCAGTTTATGACGATATGTAGGAAAGACAAAGGTTAATCCATGACTTGAAGAGATCAAGTGCCAATCAAGGTAGACTTTTACTGAATTAGGTTGTTGTATGAAGGTAAGAGGAGGAGGTAGGTAAGAAATGCAGTTTATGAGGATATGTAGGAAAGATAACGATTACCCCGAAACTTGAAATGGTTAAGATTGCAGTGATCTGGAAACCATTCTCTACTGTCTCGACTGTCGATTAGTTGTCCTACAGTCATTGTCTGTGATGGACGTCACTGCAGGGAAGCGTGCAAATTGTAACACTGCACGAACACACTGGCAAACCTTACCAGTGAGCAAATCAAGGTACTATAGACTAGCTCGGAAAATCTCCTGATATAAATCCAACCGAGAATCCGTGGTCAGTCTGCAAGGAACGACTTTGTGAAATGGACATACGAAGTACTAACATGTGCACTAGGTTTATATTTCACTGAAAAAATACGAAAAAGATGTAAATAATAACGAAATTTTAGTTCAAACAACGTAAATAATGTAAATAATTAAATTACCTCATCTCAGAAATATAGACAGATCTTGAAGAAGACCGGAGCATCCAACGGCTGAAATATCGTGAATATGGCAATGAAGATGAGGATAACAGTCCAAATAATGTAGATAGTGCAAGAATCATAATCTCTCATTTCAGAGATATAGAAGCCAAAACATTGTGAATATAGCAATGAAGATGGGGATAACAGCCCGAATAATGTAAATAATGCAAGTAATCATAATACCTCATCTCAGAGATATAGCGGCCGAAACGTTGTGATTATGGCAATGAAGATGAGGATAAAAGTCCAAATAATGTAAATAGTGAAATAATCATAATCCCTCGTTTCAGAGATATAGAGGCCGAAACGCTGCGAATATGGCAATGAAGATGAGGATAACCGTCCGAATAATGTAAATAATGCAAGTAATCATAATACCTCATCTCAGAAGTATAGACAAACTTTTGTTAGATATTAAAAATTGAATCACTTCTACGCTTGAGACAGGCCAGAATTCAGTCAATGTAAGATAACAATATTCAATTGAAGCATTGAGCTCAATAGTCTAATTTCCTGATCATTATTGATCATCATGATCAATCGAAATTATTCCTGATCTAATGAAAACTTCTGATAGATCACGCAATATTTTATTCATGAATGATGAATCGTATTCCGATTATGTCAGGTTCAAGTTAAAAGAACGACAACAAAATTGTTCAATAATTTCAGAAACAAAGGTCAGGCTATTTAATGTGTTTTATAAGCAGAAAATTAGGCAGAAAATCATAATCAGATTCTATTCTTGTTCATCGATTCCATCTGGCGCTACCAATTTTCATACGTCCTTGCTTTCGAGCGCCTTCCCTGATCTCCCCCTTCTTTACTTCTCTCATTTATTTCATTTTCTTCCTCTACTCTCACTCTCTTTGCCATATCGGTTTGTCTCGGGCGGTTATTTTCATTCTCCTTTCTTTTCTTCTCTGGGCCCCCACCCCCCACCTCCAATCATTTGCCACACTTTTTTCTTTTCTGCTTCTTTCGATATTCCCTCTCTTCATTTGCCACTCTTTTCTTCCCTGCTTCTGTCGATATTACCTCATTTCATTTGTCAGTCTCTTTCTTCCCTGCTTCTCTCGATATCTCCTCCCTTCAATTGCCACTCTCTTTACTTCTCTGATTCTCTCGATATCTCCTCGCTTCATTTGCCACTCTCTTTTCTTGTCTGCTTCTCTCGATCGCTCCCCGCTTCATTTGCCACCCTTTTTGCTTCTCTCGATGTCTCCTCCCTTCAATTGCTACACGCTCTTTGCTTCTCTCAATGACTCATCGCTTCATTTGCCACTCTCTTCTCTTACTTGCTTCTCTCGATACCTCCTCCCTTCATTTGCTACTCACTTTGCTTTACTCGATATATACTCTCTTCATTTACCAGTCACTTTTCTTTCTGCTTCTCTCGATATCTACTCTTTTTATTTGCCACTCTTTTTTTCTACTTTGTTTCTCTCAATATCGCATCTCTTTATTCGCCACTATCTTTTCTTTTCTCATTCTTTCGATATTTCCTCTATTCATTTAACAATCTCTTTTTCCCTACTTCCCTCGATATCTCCTCATTTTATTTGCTACTCTCTTTTCTTCTCAGATTCTCTCGATATCTCCTCTCTTCATTTGCCACACTCTTTTCTTCCCTGCTTCTCAGGATATCCCCCCACTTCATTTGTCACTCTTTCTTTCCATCCTTACTTCTCTCGATCGCCCCTTCTCCTGTTTTCAGTCTCATTTCTTCTCTTCTTCTTTGGAGATTTTTTCCATTAGTCCCTCTCTCATTTGTAACGCGATTAGCAATCTTTTAATGAATATATTTAGTCAGAAGTATACTGCAGTATTATTAGTTGATAATGGACGCCTTGAAGTTTCTTCAATCAAGGAAGTGTCAGAATAAATATATAAAAAATGTAAAATCAACACTTTTTTTTAGTTCTTGAATAGAATGAATGAAAAAAGAGTGAATTAAGGTGTCTGTTTGGTGATGTCCTTTTAGTCACGTACGTGCGTTCAAAGTTCATGTAAAAGATGGTGGGAAAATTGGATTTCAAAAAGAGGCCATTGTTGATTTGGTAGAATTAACTTTGCTTACATGGTGTTAAGTACGCTTAGGACATTTATTCTAGGAACTTCCCTTGTTGGGTTCAATTCGACAAGAGGTTCACTAGAGCCTAAACTGTCGTCTCAGTAGGCGAAAGAAACACGTCGTTTGTCTAAAGCATTAGTTCCCAAACGAAACAAAGAGGATAGCAGGTGAGGCGGAAGGCTTGATCACACAATCAAAGATTTAGAAAACAGATTTAAAAAAAAATCATATGACAAATATAAATATGACTTCAAAATTGCATGCATGAGTCTCTGTTTAAATAGTTATATATAATTATTGACCTATATTACCATAGTGATATTTTATCATTATATCAAGTATTAAGAATATAGTAAGTAGGGTCTGCAAGTTAGAGGAGACGTTTAGCAATGATAAAATTGACTTCGAATCCGCAGTTTTATCCCTCTCTTTTTTGTTTTTCTTTTTAAATTTTAAATGTACTTTTTATCTCATAAAATTTACTGAGGACAGAGCAAATTCCGAAAATGCGACCCCCCACAAAAAAAAAATTGGAAAAAAAACTGATCTAAGGCATTCTGGGAATAAACAAAACAGAAAAAAAAATGAAAGTTTGCGCCATTTTGTTATATACTGATTTGGCAGCACCATCTAGCGGAAGGTCGTTAGCAGAAGTTCTTTGGCTGACAAGACAGGTAATGCCATATCTTCAAGCTTTGAGTAATATAACTTAAAAAGTAAATTTTTATCGATCTCGTTATTTTAAATTAAATTCATTCCTAGTGTAGTATTTGGACATCGTTCAAACATAAGAATATAAATGAATGTAGAAACAAATTATGTACAATTAAACACATATTTAATTGTCCTCGCAAAGTATTCAGAACGAACAGAAAACTGCTAACTGAAGGTTTGAAGATTTTTTTTAAATATATATATTATGCTTTATTTTCCATAATTTTGCAACACGGGTTTCGGGTCTCGTGACCTTCTTCAGACAAAGAGTGGATATTTCCACATATTATTAAAATGAATTAATTTTCCTTATGTTTTTCGATATTAAACATTCTCTTTTTGCGTGGTAGTCTCACAAATATCTTTCTTGAACTGGTGGTGAAAAAGTTCTTCTGCTGAAGGATAATAAAACAATTAAGATTGGTCCGAGAGAAGAGTGAGGAAAGATAGCTGTATTCATATCTTTTAATGACCCCTGTGTGTTCTTAGATCTATTTCAATTCTTGTGTATTGTGTGTGTTTTTGCTAGTATGCAGTATGTATATGTATATTCCCTTTACATACATACATACTGTCTTATTATAAGGAATTAGTATACATATATATACATACATATATACACACACACAAACATATATATGCAGATACATGCATATATACATACATACCCATAGACAAATTTGTGGTGTATGATTTGTGCATGTGCTTGTGAGTAGTTTATTTGTTAAAAAATCCACATTACAACCAAGAACATTTGCGGTTTCTCTCTTCTTTTTTAATATATATATATATATATATATATATATATATATATATATATATATATATTGTGTTTATTTAGGCAGCATTTTTCCGTTGATGCCTGTTTCATTAAATAATATAGACAAGTTTTGTCTATTTATTTTATGTAAATTCTCTTAATATCGTCTGATAAGCTTAATAACATTATCATTAAAAGATGAAAGAAAATCGCAAATTGATACATGTTTTTTAATCTTATCTAAGCTTTCAGCTTACATAAGCCATTATCAAAGATGACAGTTACATTTCAATATATATAATATATTAAGCTTATCAGACGATATGAAAGGAATTTACATAAAATAGACAAAACGTGTCTATATTATTTAATGAAACATTCATCAATATATATATATATATATATATATATATATATATATATATATATAATTCATATATTATATATAATTCATAAATATATATATATATATATATATATATATATATATATAAGTGATCTAAATCAATAAATAAGTAAACAAATTACAAATAAATAATAAACAAATTACAAATATAAGAATGTCTCTATAAACATAAGTAAACCTAATAATGACACTCAACAGCAAGTAATCATTAATAAATAATGAGTAAAAAAAAGTAACAAACAACACTATAAAATAGTTACAAAACTGTATTCGGATCTACAATTATTTCCACTCAATCGAGGCTAGAATAATATGAAACATAATCGTTACCGGCCACCCAATAACCGTTAGGATAATGTAATAGACCTACCCATAATGCATTATTGACCAAATAGAAGAATTATGAGAAAAGATGTTAAAAAACAAATCTTTCGGAAACACTTGTTTCGTTTTTAGCAAGAAATAAAATGAACTTGGAGGTATAACAAAATTTACAACAGCATGCATGTCCACATTCGCAATTTAGGAAAGTTTTTGTTGAAAATACATTTATACTTTTTTCATGAAAATAATAAACATAGACTCAAAATTCTTGTAGCTATCTACATTTAAAAAATGAATCCAATCCTTAATAAATTAATTATGAATACAGCACAAATGATTTAAAATGTTTACGGTAGATTGTTTAAAATATCTAGGTTTTAACTAATAGTTTTTTTTTTTTTTAAAAAACAAAACAAAACATGTTAAAACTTAGTCACCGTACAATACAAAACCTTAAAATTAACTTTCAGATGAAAACAATAATTTTATCTTAGAAATAAAACAACACCTTTATGATGACATTGTTCTAATGTACTCTGAATAAATGAATATGTATCAACATGATAATTTTATCCCTTCCTTTAATAAGGGTACTAAAAAGTTTGTCCGTGAATATGAGAGGATTCTACTGAAAATAAGTTGAGAAAGCTTGTCTAAATTATTCAATGAGACATGTCTTAACACACACACACACACACACACACACACACACACACCACACCACACCCTATATATATATATATAATTATTTTTTTAAAATATGATTCTATCGCTACACAAGAATAACCATGTTTCAAAAATAGAAGCTAACAACTTCAATTCAATTATAGAAATTAAATTTAATTAAAGTACCTAGTTCTGTTTCATCCTCACGCGAATTTTGAAACAATTAATTTTTAAATTTTCTGAGCTTTATATGCATATACATTCGTAATATTAGTTTCTATGGATATGGCTAAAACCAATCATTTTAATAAGGGGCAGTAGGGTATTCATTTTCATTGACAACTATTGTATCAACATATTAGTTACTTTCGAAAAGAGATTAAGTCAAGATAGGGTCGGTATATATATATATATATATATATATATATATATATATATATGTGTGTGTGTGTGTGTGTGTGTGTGTGTGTGTGTGTGTGTGGAAGTGTTTTCTATTTGCGATACAGGATCGAAAGACTTCTTGTACAGCCCTTAAAATATGGTATATAAACTTAATGGAACAGGGAAAAATTAATTTTAACATTATCATTACCATGAATTTTACCGAAAAGAAACAATGAATAAGAGGAAACCTGCTGTAGCTCAGGTACTTGCAATCCATTCATATTAAGTCTTGTAGATGTGGTTTTGCAGTTAATGTGCCTTACTTGAAGAAATATGGAGACAAGGTTGGTGGTAAGCAAAATTAAAGAAAAATGGAAAGTTAATAAGAAACAATGAAAAAGATGGTTCGTGAGTAGGAAGAGAGAGAGTAAAGCGACTGTAAGAAAGAGAGTATAGAGGGAGAATACAAAGGAGGAAAGACAGGAGTTACGGAGGAAAATGAGAGACGGTAGAGAGATAACAAAAAAAAGAAAAAGAACGTAAGCAATATAAGTGACAGAATGAGAAAGAGAGAGAAAAAAAAACGGAACGAAAGAAAGGAAAATTAGTAATTTAAAAGGAATAAAAATATACCTATTTTTGTTAAAAAAAATTAATGAAGCCATTTTACCGAGTTCGTCTCCGATTAGAGCTATTGTCCGATATGATTAGTGTTTTATACTTGTGCTGAAGTTAATCCGGTCAAATTATAATCAATTGACGTAGTCCCCTCTTAGTTTCAACTTCGAATGTCTGAAAGCAAGTACAGGAAAAATGACTCATTGATTTGGTCATATATTCTCGAAAATGTTTTCATCATTTTGACGAGCTGAAAATATAAACGGGGAGATTTTAAGCTCATCTCTGTAGCGGGTTCAAGTGAGGGTTGGGGACAATTTTTTTTTTTAACATACAACGTGTGTTATCACGTGCGATACCCTGTCTTCATCAGCCGCCGACCATGGGTGATATCACGGTTTCGGATGCTATGGCGGAACCGCCACCCTTGGCGCCACCAGCAGCATTTGCCACCAGGCAGGGTATGAAGATAAACTATATACATATAATACTTCATCGATTTGAACACTGTCCTCAGTGTCGTGCCTGAATTTTCTCTCGTCGGGTGCATCCTTCAAATCTACAAATCAACCATTCGTCCTTGCATGGAATACTGCTGTCATATAATCTGGTGCCCCCGTTGTTCATCACGAGGTCCTCGATAAAATCCAAAAACGGATATGCAATATGATAGGTCCTGATATATCATCTCGTCTACATTAATTTCTCACATAAGTGCTGCGGCTTCCCTCTGTCTTTTCTACATGGCAACTGCTCTGAGGAGCTATTTTCATTGTTCCCCCATCTACATGAATTTAAGCGTTCTACTAGGTTGACATCTCGGTCCCACTCTTTCACTCACGAAACAGTTAAAAGTAACCGCCTCTTCTGTTCCAACAGATTCTTCTCTCGCACTTTCCGACAGTGGAACTCCCTGCTTCCCTGTTAGCTATAATCTTCAGACATTCAAATGTAATGTCGATCGACATCTTCTAATACCTTGATCTTGATCCCCGTCCTTCTCTTTATCCTTTCTTCAAATAACCCTCTTTACTCTTACTCTAACTCTGTAATCCCTTGCGTAATAGTGGCACTCCTGCTTTGCTTGAGGTGAAATGCTTTAAAAAAAAGTAAGAGAGACAGATAGTCAAAAGATGTGAACTTTAAAATCCAGGTATCAGATTTAAACAGGTAAAGAAATTTAAGCATCTGCTCAGTGTAATGAAACAAGCATCCGAAATTACACTGGAATACTGAGAGAAGATTCCTAAAATCTGGACCGGACATAGGCAAGCTTTTTCGAGCAGTAGGCCGCATGATCGATGGGTCATCACAAGGCGGGTCGCACTATTAAAAAGATTCAAGGTAATTTTTCGGAGTAGCGACATCAGATATTATCACCATAGAGGTCCATATACGCAAACCTATACCTTAGAATTGGTAGGAAATTTTTAATTTTTAGAAATTATTTTTTATAATTATAATTATCCTTTTATATTATTAATGATAAGAGTGTGATTGACACATGTCGCTGCGTGGGATTTATATCTAATTTATTGATTTGAAAATGAAAATATAAGGAACGTTTCTTGATTCAAAAGATGATTACGCGTTTGACCTTCCTTAGTAAAAAAATCGCCAATGATTTAAAATCTGGAAACGTTACTGTACTCGAAATTTTACAAAATTCAAGAAACGTTGTAATTAATTATTGTTTATGTGTATGGTTATGTATGAGAGAGTGTGTGAGTGAACAAGTGAGAAAGAAACAAAAAACTTCTAAGAAATCCCTTATGAAATACTCTGCTTAGCTTTTGGGGTTCATCTTTGGCCATCCCAATATGTCTTCGGATCTCAGTGCTGCACTTCCGGTCCTCTGTCAGAACACATCCCAGATATTTAAATTTCTGTACCTACCTGATTTAAGTATCCACGTCCTGTAAATCGCATTTCAGGCTCATCCTTTTACTGATGACAATGCATTTCTGTTTTCTTGTAGTCTATGCTTAGTCCCTTCTTCACGCTCTCCTTCGCTACCTTCTGTAGAAGGTTTTGTAATTTCTTTTCCGTGTCTGCTATCAGTACTGTGTCATCTGCATATCTGATGTTTCTAGGATCTACAAAGAACAGGAAGTTATGGAGAGCCACGATTGCCCCGTCCTGACGAGACACGGTGCATAAATGATGATGATTTATTGAGTCATAACTTATTTGAGAACAATCCAACAATGAACGACTGGCTTTAGACTTGATTTAAATATCTGGTGTATGTTTTCAAATACTCACATTTTGGGGGGGGGATTTTCCACGAGAAAACAATCTGCCTCGTCAGTCATGTATCGAAAGGTGCATGATCGCTTAAGCGTGTATCACGCATGGCATATAACTGACTGATCACTCCAAATAAGGCAGTAAAGCCACTAAGACACAAGGATATGTAAGAACTAGGAACAGAAACATAATTAATGAGCGGGAAGAAGAAAGAGTAATCAAGAGGATAGTAGATAGCGATTGACATTGCATTTAAATTTTCGAAGATAAAAGCTGGCTGGAAAGCATGGAGCTGAATGGGAGTTCCACAAGCGAGAAGTGCGAGAAAAGGAACTGTTAGCATAGAACTTACGGCTACATCTAGGCACTTCAACTGTAAATTGATGAGATCTCGACGCCAGTCTGGAGATTTTTTACTACATCTTTATTATAGTTACTGGTTGTTTTTGTTTAGTGGCATAACAACATCTATATGGGTTATTTATTGCCGAAATTTAAATATTTTGTATGCAATTTAATTTTTGGAGATGATAATGGTTTTAAGATACAGGTATTACTAGTTAACCCTAGTTTGACAGGAGGTGAATTCATGCCTTTCCACAGGATATTTCAACGTAATGAATATAGCGGATATATTCGATTAACAATTCCGAGCCTATTATCCTTGACACCACCCGCACATCCGAGCTTACAGTAACTGGTATTCCGAAGCGGTCTCCCATCTAGGTATTGACCAAGCTCGACGTTGCTTAACTTCGGTGATCATACGGGAGCAGGTATTTCAATGTGATGTGGCCATAAGCCCATTATATACTGCCCGCACAACCAGGCTTACAGCGCCTGGTAATCGCAAGCGGTTACCCATCTAGGTACTGACCAAGCTCGACGTTGCTTAACTTCGGTGATCATACGGGAGCAGGTATTTCAATGTGATGTGGCCATACGTCCATTATACTGCCCGCACATCCAGGCTTATAGCACCTGGTATACCCAAGCGGTCACCCATCTTGGTACTGACCAGGCTCGACGTTGCTTAGCTTCGGTGATCTTACGTGAACTGGTGTTTCAGCGTGCTGTGGCCGTAAGCCCTTAATAACAGAATAGTACCAATCTAACGTATTCTACAGTATATAGAAGGCATTTTTATCGAAAAATGACTAAAAGTCGTCCTGCGTCTTCTATGGGAAGATGTGGCCATTCATTAGATTCATTTTTATCCCCAGCAGTCACTACAGTAGACTATAATTTCACTTCTGTCGCTTACATTTCGTAAACCTGTTTAATATTGGTATTGAATAAGAAAGAAACATTGCAAAACGTTAAGCTCAGTCAGAACAGACCAGACACAGATCCTACAATAAATTGTGCAGAATATAAGCTTGCTGGTCTGTCCTTGTTAGAAATAAATTCATGTCAGTTAACACAGTCCGCTTATACTATCTTCAATTGGAGATAGTCTCTAAATATGCTGTCAGTTTTTTTCATATCTAACAGGTTGATTTGTTTAAAAACGTTCTCCAAATGTCACCTGCATACAATAGAAATGCAGTGTTCTTAAAATGCTAGGATGAAGCTAATAAGAAGTTTTTTTTCTATGACACTGATAATATTAACATTCCTGATAGTACCCAGATGGTTAGGCAGTGACCCTAAGAACTTTCCAAAATTCAGGCACATAAAGTTTCCGACAACTGCGATTATTCTGGGGGTCGTAAGCAACGCGAAAGACGTCATACCTCCTCACTTCTTTCTTCGGAGCTTAAGGGTCAATGCTGCTGAAGGCAGAGTTGGAGAGAGCTGTAAGGCCTTGGATAGAAATCGTAAGCACCCAATAACAAGACACATAAGGACAATACGATCAAAGAATGGATGAGTCACAATCTCCAGGATCATGTCACCCCAGGTTGAATTCGTTACCGTAATGCTTATGAGACGGAGTTGAGACGGAAGGCAATCCACACCTATAACAGTATACAAATCTTTAACTTCTGCACTAAGGAGCACAGTATCCAAAATAGATAGAAATCATATGATTTAGATGTGTCCACGTTTCAGATCTCGTCGTCCTGGGCAAGACGATAAACTACATCCGACAGTCAGGCCTTTAAACAGGAGATTTTAAGGAGCGTGAAACCAACTGGTAATTGCTAGTGTTCCCAGGTCTACCCTGACCCGGGGAAGTAGCACCTGTTAGGGGTCCCAGACATGGGAAAAGTCGATAAACCCACTAAAAAGGGGTTAAAACACAATGAAAGTATAAAAATAGGTTTTAATACCAGCAATACATTTTTGGAAAAATATTAGCAGCAATACTTTTTTTTGGATAAATTATTACCAGCAATACATATTTGAAAAAAAAATTGTTACGAACAATATTTTGTTGCCAGCAATACATTTCTGAAAAAATATTACCAAGAATACATTTTTGGAAACATTACCAACAATACATTTTTGAAAAAAATATTACCAGCCGTACATTTTTTAAAAATATTACCAGCAGTAAATTTTAGAAAAAGAATTATTACCAGCAATACATTTTTAAAAAAAAATATTACAATAAATTAAAAAAAAATATTACCAGCAATACTTTTTTGAAAAATAAAGAAATTGCCAAGTATACATCTTTTGAAAGAAATATTACAATCAATACATTTTTGAAAAATATGAAAAATACATTTTTGAAATAAAATATTACTAGCAATACATTTTTGGAAACATATTACCAACAAAACATTTTTTTTTTAAATATTACAAGCAATACATTTTTGGAAAAATAATATTACCAACAATAAAAATCTTGTCGGCATTAAATAACCCATTGAAGTTGATATACCGGTTAAAAAACAAACCAAACCATTCAGATCTCGTATTGAATCAGCAATCGATACTAATGTCGAAATTCATTAAGATGCGCCAAGAAGAGTTCCAAGATTATTATTACCATTTTTTCTCATTTAAAAATCTTGTCATCGTTTCTGCGTCTTTTACCAAATCCATGTAAATGTCCTCAAAGAAATGAACAACTCTTTATTCTTTCACCGTTTCTAAGCTATATTCAGTCGTCGTTATGTATGTCGTCTCTCAGGTCTTTTTTGTTTTTGGTTTTTTTTTGTTTTGTTTTGGTTTGTTTTTTTTTGTTGTTTTTTCTGTTTTGTTTTGTTTTTTTATCAGGGAAAATAATGATAATCAGAGCTCTAAAAATATAGATAATATTTATAAAATTAGATCGAAATGCTTCCCCAAAAATGCGGGAAATTTAACGACACCCCAAACTGAGTTGTGGCTTGATGAACAAAGTGAAAAAAATTGTACATTGTAAAAACATACTTTATACGAGAAACCGTAAAATAAGAGCAAGAAAAAGAGAGGACGCAACCCCCCCCAAAAAAAACAAAAAAACGTATTTTTTTAGCGGTTAATAATCAAAGTATCGGGGATTAAATGTAAATACATATCTATTTCAATTAGAAGATACACTAAAAAGTATTGCTAGTAATATTTTTTAAAAAATGTTTTGAATTTCGTCATTAGTATCGATTGCTGCTTCAATATGAGATGTGAATTATTTGGATTGTTTCCCCGCCCCCGCGGTATATCCATCTCAATGGGTTATTTAATGCCGACAATATTTTTATTGTTGGTAATATTATTTCTTCAAAAATGTATTGTTAGCAATATTTTTTTTTTCAAAAATGTATTGTTCGTAATATTTTTCAAAAATGTATTGATTGTAATATTTTCTTTTAAAAAAATGTATAGCTGGTAATTTCTTTTTTTTTCTTTTTTTCAAAAAAGAATTGCTGGTAATATTTTTTTAATGTATTGCTGGTAATAATTCTTTTTCTAAAATTTGCTGCTGGTAATATTTTTCAAAAATGTACTGCTTATCTGAATGGGAGCTCATATTCTGCTTGTATTTGCTGCATTGTCGTCGCATTGTTCAGGTTAGCTTGTGCTCAGCATGCCTGTTCTTGTCTGGACTCGAGACGCATCTCTTCTCTCCGTATTCATCTTAGCGTCTGAGGTTGACTTTCGCGCCTCATTTTGGGTCATCCCCATTATCATCAGTTTAATAGACTCTTCTCATTATCAGCAGGAGTCATCTTCCGAAGAGAAATGGCCTATACTTTTTTTTTTTTTTTTATAAATGATAGAAAAATGTAGACGAAACATTCGGATAAATTCTCCAAGTTTGTCATATGCTGAAATATTTCTTTGAAAATCAGAGAAAAGAATTCCTTATCCGCCCCGTTTTAAAAATGGATTTTTTTTTCTTCTTTTCTTATATTTACTTTCCATATGATACCAGACAAAATATTTCTGGGTAAAAATCTTATTTTTTTTTAATCTTATTTCTGATCTTTTCACAATCTTTCTTCACTTCGATCAGTTTGCCTCCAAAAAGAAATTCTGTAAGAACGACTGCCTTTCTGAAAGTATTTCTTTTTAAATAAAAAAAAAAATGCCTACCTGCGCCGAAAGCAACGTCAATTTTAGACGTGAGTAGAATGTACTTTCTAAAAATTCTTCTTGTTTAGGAACGACGGGCAAAATGAATGACAAAGTGCACATTTAGCCCAGGAAGACCACGGATTCTATACGTCAGAAAGGTGACGCAGTGCATATTCGCCTCCATTTAACACCCTAACCCTAACCCTAACCCACACTTAGCCCACGTGTTAACTCTATGAAATATAACGTTCTAAGTAATAGCGTCTTCATACAAAGAGGCTTTCGTTGATTAATCTCATTTCGTGTATAAAAGCCTAATTTTCTTTGTGCAACACACGCAAACATAAATCAGCTCCAGTTTTAATGCACTTACCTTGTCCGCCATCATAAAATGCTTGGAAAACATTTCATGCTGTTAAAGTAATTCGCCTGAAAACATGATTTTAATAAAGGAAAATATATTTGGCAAGTTATATTTAAAAAAAAAAAAACAAAAAAAAAAACGAATTTTATCTTTTTTTCTAGGAGCAATGGGAGACGGTGGGGAGTTAAAATTAATTTGTAAGGTTGTGGTTTTGCCGTCCTCTTCTCGAAATATTAAACTGGATACCAATACATATATAAAACATTTTCCGTTTGCTTTTTTAACTGAATCTTTTATACACCTTTTTCAGTCAATAATTACTAGCATTAGCTTACTCTGGTGCAAGGACACATTATCGTAGGACTCAGTAAGAGTCGAATACACTAGTGGACAGACTTCCAGGGGAGTTCAATGACCATCTGTGTACAGCAAGCGCTCTAATTGATAGTAATTAAATTTAACTTAATATGAAATATGCTTACTAATTTTATACATTTATTATTTATTAAAATATATATTTGACCTGTATTTGTTTCATAATCCTATGCCGGGTCATGATCAATGGCTTAGGGCAGACGAAGGGAATGGGATTTTTAGGTTGTTTTCAGTTATTTAAACAACAAAGAACAGATTAAACTCTTCCTGGGTTATGGTCTGTGCTTATTAGAACGATTTTTTTTTTTTTTTTTTCTGGAGAAATGCTACGCCAGGAATTTTGTTGATTTGTTATGGAGTTCCTTTGTTTATCCGACCCAAAACTCTAACCACAAAGGGAACAGCGCCATTTTTTTTTATAATCACCATTGTATTTTGTTATCTTTTCAAAAATTTTCACAAAGATCTTTTTATCACTTGATAGGCTCATGTCAATAAGTACTGAAACCTTATCTTTTCTGTCTTTGATAATAATGTTTGTGTGATTTCCTTGTATTGCTCGATCTGTGTTGGTAGAAAAATTCGAGAATGTTGTTGTTGTTGTTGTTATTATTATTATTATTATTATTATTATTTCCTTTGATTTCTGCTGTATACACATTTCCTTCCAGGTCCAGATACCTAAGTTCAGAAATGGCATCATGACATTTGCCACTGATCATTTTTGTAAAAAAAACAAAAAAAAAACTAAGATCACACTTATATTACATAGATAAAGGTCTTCATAATATGTGAATATTATTATTATTATTATTATTATTATTATTGATTTCTGGCGTTTACACATTTCTTTCCGGGTCCTGCCAAGAGACCTAAGGTTAGAAATATCAACAT